GACCCTGCCTTTAGTCATTCACCCCTGATCCACTGTGACCGATCCACCCCTTACAGACCTCAGAACGGAATGATGCAAGTTCTCAATGGCCCACACCCTCCCTGCCTCGGGAGAAAACCTGTTTGCCTCTCACCCCAGGGACCCGTTGCTTCTCACTCAGTGCATCGAAGTCAATGTCATCACCATCTGCCCAGAGGCTGAGGTCAGGAATCTAAAGCCATCCTGACTCCTCTCTTTCTCCCACCGCTACACCCTCCATCTAATCCATCCCACCTATTGTGCCTCCGACATTTATCCAAATCTCACCACTTCTTTCCTACCTCCCAGACCACCATTGCTCATCTGGACAGCTGCAGGAGCCTCCCCACTGGTGCCCTTGCTGTCACTCTTACCCCTCTCAATCCATTCTCCCCAGAGAAGCCAGAGAGATCCCTTGAAAAAAATAAATCTGGGCCCTAACCGGTTTGGCTCAGTGGATAAGAGCGTTGGCCTGCGGACTCAAGGATCCCAGGTTCGATTCCGGTCAAGGGCACGTACCTTGGTTGCAGGCACATCCCCAGTAGGAAGTGTGCAGGAGGCAGCTGATTGATGTTTCTCTCTCATCGATGTTTCTAACTCTCTATCCCTCTCCCTTCCTCTCTGTAAAAAAATCAATAAAATATATTTTTAAATAAATCTGATTTTGACATACCTCTGCTTAAAACCCTCCATTGGCTCTTCACTATCATAAAACAAGTCTAACCTCCTAGCCTCAGCATGTAAGGCCTTTTATAATCTGACCACCACAACCTCTCCATCCTTATCTGTTAACCCTCTCCCCCTCACTCTGTTACAGCCATTCTGGCCTCCTCACTCCTACAGGAACATACTAAACTTGTTTTTGCATCAGGACTTTTGTACTTGTTATTCTCTTCTGCCTAGAATGCTCTACCCCCAGAGGTCTGTACAAGTGGCTTCTTTTCTTCGTTCAGGGCTTGGCTCATAGAAGCCATCTGGGACCACCCAACCTGAAACACCTTGGAAATATACCCTCCGCCTTACAGCCCCGCCTCCCCAATATCACTTGATCCTATTTGCAGCATCTTACCACCTGAAGCTTCCATATTTTTATTGATTTCAGAGAGGAAGGGAAAGGGAGAGAGAAAGATAGAACATCAATGATGAGAAAGAATCATTGATCAGCTGTCTCCTGCACGCCCCCTACTGGGGATCCAGCTCCCAAAGAGGCATATGCCCTTGACTAGAATCGAACCCCGGACCCTTCAGTCCACAGATCGACACTCTATCCACTGAGCCAAGCTGGCGAGGGCACATGTTTACTTCTTCATCTGACCTCCCAGGACACTGTTAGCTCCATGAAGGCAGGGATTTTTCTCTCTACTGATCCCTGGTACATCCCAGGGATCCGCTTAGTGCCTGGCACATAGTAGGTGCCCAATAAATATTTGTGGATTGGACGAATTCACCCCTACCTGATGCCAGCTTTCCGCCTGGATACTCACATCTACCACGGGGGTCTGGTTCACACCGGAGGCTGGAAATGGGGGGCTGGTGTGGGCCCCTGTAGAAAGGCCACTGGCCACGGACACCCTGTCCACCATCAGCAGCACAGAGAGCCAGCACAGCACCCAGTGCCCATTCTGTCGTCCGCCGGCCATCGGCCCCCACGGGGCCTGGCCTTCACCCTCTGCTTCCCCTTCTGTGGTGGTTCAGTTTCAAATGGCTGGCAGCTCCGGCCGCTGCAGGTTGGGGATGAGAAGGAGGGACAGTGTCACTGGAGATCCCAAGACCCAGCAGGAGGGGCCTGAAAACTTCTTCAACTGAGGAACCGCCCCCCTTCCTCCCCCACCCCCCAAAGGAAAACCAATATAGAAAGGCACTAGCACCGGGGACCTCATTTCATCCCCCAACTCCATAGACGAGGCGCTGCTAGTGCTCCCAGTCTAAGGAGGAGCCACCTGGAGGCAGAGCCAGAGGACGCCTCCTCCTCAACTCCGGAGCAGTTATGGTCCCCGCCCCTTTTACAGAGGAGGGAGCAGGGCTCAGAGAAGTTGCTCCAGCTGCCCGAGGCCACACAGCAAGGAGGTCGCAAAGCCAACAGTGCCTTTGATATGGAGATCGAGGCCCGGAGGAAAGCGAATTGCTCAGTCACAGCCTGTTAGCAGATTCCGGCTGGACTCAGCCTCTTCCCTAAACATCAGGGCAAAAAACAACTTCGTTTTTCTTCCTAAGAAAAACTGGGGGGTTGGGGGGGGGGGAACCTCTGGCACATTCATTTCCTTCTCTGGGCTCTCCCACACGTCATGGATGAGCAGGTTTTATTTTTGCCGGCAAGAGAAACACCGCCCAGAAAACAAGTTGTTTTTTGTAATCCTTTGCACAGGCGTTTCTCAACGTCCTGGCAGGGGCGGGAGGAGGCCCGGAGGAAGAGAGGGAGAGGGAAGGGGCAGAAGCACCAGCACAGCATCTTTCCTCACCTGTTGGCTCTAACTCCTTTGCTGTCCTGAACTTCACTTGTCACCGACTTGGAAGCGCTGACCTGGCAGGCAGAGACTCCCGGCTTCCAATAT